ACGGGGGTGTGGTTGCTGGAAAAGCTGGTGCGACACTGGGTGATGTGGATGCAAGGAGAGGGTCCAGGAGGAGGAGGTGACAGACCCCCGTCCTCTGGGCTGTCCTGGGGTCCCCTGAGCCTGCTCTGCTAGGAGGGAGAACAGGCATGGGTGCAGGGAATGTTCTGGAAGGCTTGCAGAGTCAGAGAAGACAGAGGCAGAACACAGAGGACCATCAGGAGACCAGGCAGTCAGACGGGGCCTGGGTAACCCCAGCTCTGGCACCTCCTGTGACCTCTGACCAGTCCCTTCACCTCTCTGAGCCTCGGTCTCCTCATCAGTAACACGGGAGGGATGATAGTGCGTGCTTCTCGGGGCCTGAGCCCAGAAGAAGCGCCCAGAAATGGTGGGTCTGAAGAGCCTGGGGCCGCCCGGCTGGAGAAGGCGCTCGTGCTGACCTGAGAGCTGTGTGCACCGTGGGGACAGCTGCCAGGGTGGGGACGGGCCTGCCCCGGACACGCACACACACGTGCATGGCTGTGAGCCCCAGAGAGGGACCCGCGAGAGGCCCTCCACACCAGGAGGCCGACACAGGGCCCAAGGGGGTGGGGCGGGGCTACTTACGGGTAGTAGGAGTAGGCATAGTGGTCCCTCCTGGCAGCATGCAAAGAGAAGAGCACAGTTGGGCTCGTGGTCCAGCCACAAGGTGGGCCGAGGGCAGCACCCAGTGGGCAGGGAGGGGCCTGGTGCTTTCTGTGCTGGGAGGGTGCTGGCCAGGGACTGGACAGGTCAGGAGGACCTTCCTTGTCCCAAGGGCTGGCTGGGCTCAGTCGCTGAAAACCAAGACCGGAGGCCCCTTCCAGAACCTTCCCCAAGCCTGCTGCTGGAGGGAGGAGGTGGTGGGGAAAGGGCCTGGGGAAGCCGAGCTTTCACACAATCACACACACGTGGACACAGAGAGAAATACACACACTTACACACTCACACATAAACAGACACACTCATGTGGATACACAATCACACACAGACACCCTCCCTCACGTGCTCACAGGCGACCCTGCTCTCCCCTGCAGCCCCACCCCTCAGTCCCAATGCTGCTCACACCTGCAGGCCCCTCTGCCCCTGAGGGGTCAGCCCTCCGCATACACCTGTGCCTGGGAGGGAACCCTGGCTGGGGGGTGGGGGTAGGGGGGAGGTGGAGAGGGCTCCAGCTGGACTCCATGGCAAAGATGAGGCCTGCTCTCCCCGACCCAGACTGCCCCTGAGTGTGGGGCCCATCAGAGGAGCTGGGCCGCCCCCTCTGGGCACCCAAAGCATGGCTTGGGTCTGATCCCACTTCGCAGGTGGGGAAGCTGAGTCCCAGACAGTTGTGGTCCTCCAAGGCCTCTCTGGGGGTCAGGGGCAGAGTGCAGACGCCTGTCCCAGGACCCTGACCCCCAGAGCCAGCTCCCTCCTGAGGCCCCATCCGAGCACATCCAGGGGTCCTCCATTCACCTGCCCCCACACCACCCCACCAGCAGCGACCCCAGGGAACAGCCTTCCACGAGGGACTCTGCAGACTGGGGGAAGGGAAGGAGAGAAGAGTGGAAGGCTGAGGCCCAGTGAGGGCAGGAGAG